CATGGTTCCTCCCTTCCTGAATCCTCTCCTCTACAGTCTCAGGAACAAGCAGGTAAAGGACACTGTGGGGACAGTAATGCAGCTAAAGCTGCCTGTCAGCATTAGCCTAATTTCACTGATTGAGCTTTATAATTAGATACAACGTTCTTCCTATGGGCTTTACAGATTACACTGCCTATACTAATATCATCTTATTGGAATCTGAGTCATTTTATTAAATTTTTTTATGATTTACCATATCATTTTCTTGGATCCTTCATAAAATGTGTAATTTTATCAGTGCATTTTTAATGTGTATATATGATCCAATATATTTTCTGAAATCATTTGTGGTTATATATATTAAAGATTCATTAAATACATTGAAATACCAGTATCAAATACTATCATAGAGAAAAACGTTACTAATCAAATCTGGAAATATCTTACACTCACATAACCTGCTTTTATTCAAAGAAGTATCAAACAAATTTGTAAACACTGTGATAGATAATTGTGTCAATTTAATTACTTTGAGAATACATAAAAATCAAATCCTAAAGAAGTTACAACCAAAAAACATAAACAGAATCATAGTATTTGTCACCATCTGGACCATGAAATGAGAAGAAACTCCCTGTCCATCGAGTAAACACAGGGCCATGGTTACCTCATGCAGTGTTCCCATAGTCACATCTGTCCAATGGGGAAGAGCACCCTTACTTCCTTGGCCATGTTGGCTACCAGTGTTTTGTTATGACTCAGTGTCAGGGACCAAACCCTGAGGGTGAGTTGCAGGTCAGTTTTCTGATGGTTTTCTTCCCATGCACCTTAGTACTGTAATATTTAAGAAATCTGTCATGCCTGATAATAATGTAGACCATAATTCCCTGGCCTAAGTGTCTCACCCATCTCAACTGTTAACTTTCTCTGGAGTTCATAAAGGAAACTTCTATCTGTACTTGTCCTCTCTCACCTGTGGCAATCTTTCATTCTCTCACACAGGTTATTTCTTTCCAAAAATCTTAGTGTTCTAACTGGCATGTGTTTTGTTGATTATTGTGACTGACATATACTCACTGTTAACTTATCTATGAATTTTAGTATAACAAAATAAGAAAAAAAAGATTTCATACAAATTATAAGCAAAACCTCAAATTACAAAAATCTAAAAATAGTTTTGTTTATCAGTTCACTAATAAGAAAACAGTGGACAAAAACATAAATGCATCTAATACCAGGAAAATATGAAAGCCTAAATATACATGATTAATGAATAAAGGCATTTCTTAACGTTTGCAGACAAGGGAATGTTGGTAACAGGAATCAGTGAGCACCCAGCCCTGGCTGATGCAGGAAGCCTTGACTTGCTGTAACAGGATCCAACCAGAACAAAAGCCCTATCCACACACCGTGTCTCGTGGCTTCTGGTTCTCACTGCTCCAGTGTTCCCTGCTGGAGAAGAAGGACCTTCACAGAAACCCAGATAAATTCTACACACTCCACCTTTTTACACATTTTCTTTACAACTATAGGTGCACTAAAACCTAATGAGGGATATTAAAATTTTTTCACGTGTTTAGATAGCAGGTAAATTAATTTTAAATCTAACATATAAAGTTATAAATTAAATTGCAAACACTAGCCCTATTGAATGGTGTCCATCTTGATGAAAGATGGATATTTAACTTGTGTTAATGTTTTATACTAAAAAAGCTGGTGGCAAAGAAGTTGCAAAAACCTCAATTTTGGTACAAGGACTTTACAGAATCCTACATCTGCTGTCAAATAGTGCAGAGTCCTAAAGGTAACTCCCCCAAAGACAAAAAAAAATGAGCATAAGTTAAAAACAGAGTATGGCAGCAACTATTGAGATATTGCTGGCTAGCCATATGGTGTATGGTGATGCACACCTATATTCCCAGTGGCTCCTGAGTCTGAGGCAGGAGGATCATGAGTTCAAAGCTAATCTTAGCAACAATATGGTGCTAATCAGCTCATTAAGACCCTGTTTCTGAATAAAACTAAAGATAGGACTGGAGATGTAGCTCAGTATTTGAGTGCCCCTGAGTTCAATCCTTGGTGTCTCAAAAAAATAAAATAAAAGCATATTTCTTTCACATATAAATTCTCTGCAGCATTGGACAATATTACCCTCACACACATGGATATGGAATATTTTACTAAGAGTATGAATTTGAGGGACATACAGTTAAATGTTTTAAAACATTAATGTCTTTGTGACTTGGTGAAATTGATCAGGTGAAGGCTCACTCTGGGTTTTGCAGAGGCACAGGTCCTGAGTTTGTACTCTTGGATGCAAGGGGCAAGTCTCAGTAGCATGGCTTGATGAGCCAGTTCCTGGGAGCAGGCTGACAGTAAATGAGCTCAATATGGGCCCCAACTTACTGGATCAAAAGAGTTTCCTGAGCCAATGACCAAGTTACTCTGGTGTTTTGATTCTGCTTTCTGAGAAAGAACTTACAGGATCTCACTGTTTGTTAGTGCAGCTAGTGATGTGAAGCCAGAGTACAGAATAGGCCCAGGGATAGAAGCAGCCAATTCAGATGCGCACCACCATTTGCTGAATCATCTAAGCAGATCAATATTTACATCAAGGTTGATTCAAAGTTTTGATTTTCTTCTATTTTTTGTGATGTTATGGCTGACAACATAGTGGTTCAATACTTTAAAAAACGAAGACACACACTGACAACTGAGAAGTAGGATCAGAGTCTGTGGTGCATTTTTACCTGGTCCAGCAGGCAATCATGCTCCAGTGCAAGAAAAAAAAGTTTTTTTCTCTAACACACCAACAAAAGTAGATTTTCTTATGAGAAAAATTGCTCCTACTTTGATTTCAAGATACTGGTTCCACTGCAGGACATAACTAGAGGATTCCCAGGAAGACAGCATGTTCTTGCATCCGAGAGTCTGGCATCATGTCCAGAGTTAGTTCTGTCAAATGAACATGTGTCCCTAGGGGTTCTCATCAAGGTATAAGTTTTATGGTGCTGGGAGTATCAGTAGCACTTCTCTTTGATTTAAAGAGCCTATTTAAACTTGAAATCATATAGGATCTAGGATATAAAATGGGGTGCAGAACTTCCTTTCAGAAGTTAAACTGGGACTGAACTTTTCTCCTACCTTAGTCACATCTCTTATGATGAAAGTGGAAAATGCAAGTCCAGTATCAGACCTGGATGTTTTAAGGCTTGATGTGAATGTAAGAAGCAATCCCTGGGAACTACCCCTGCCTGGCCTAGGAGCAGGAAGCAACATGTGCTCAGCGGCTGGGACCAAATACCAGTCCCTGTGGAAATGCAAGTAATTTATTTTTGGAAAATACCTCCTTGGAATTGTCTCACAGCACAGTTTGGGCCTCACTTCTCAGAGCTGATGTTTTAGTAGGTGGAAAGACTTCAAATAGAAAGATCAGCAAGCCAAACTAAATATAAGCAAAAATTTTCAACTAATGAGTTTACTGTGAGGTTCCACTGACATCCACAGTCCTTCCCTAAGCTCCATTTTTTTTAGAAAATCTGGAGAAGTGGCTAAAGTCTACAAAAGGCCCACATGTTATTTCAGCAGTCACCCTCCATTCTGGCTTTTACTTACTGGGCCTCATGGAATTGTGGTCACTTCCACTTGGGGTATTTTCATCTTAAACACTGTTTTATGTTTGAATAGAGTCAGTTAGGAAAATAAATAAATCTTATTAACAAGTGGATCTTGGTGGCACTCAAAGAGAAATAAGACAAATACAACATTTGCTTTGCAGTTGTAGGCAAATCCTGAGTCAAATCAAACTGCATCTGTCTTTTTTCATGGAGAAAGTAGGAACATTAAGAACAAGATGACAAGAGTGACAGGAAAGAAGAGCTCCAATTGGTAAAAACACTGTAATGCATCCAAAAGCAAAGAGCTTGGAACACAACAGATCACTCAGCCAAGGAACTGTGATCAGCAACTTCACCCAGCTGGACAGGGACCCGCCTGGTGTCTCAGGACCCTGGGAAGGCCTCCCTCTGCATAACAATGAACGCTGGCTCTGCAGTGGGTCTCCATTGAGTTCTCCTGATTGGGCAGCCTTCAGTCATTGTCAGAATGACTGATTAGATTTAAATCTGAAGTCAGAATCTACAGGGCACAGTTTTAGGATCCTGCTGACACTCCAACTAACATCAATTGGAGAACACCCTTTTCAGATGGATCCAAAGTTCACATGGCTTAGCAGCGTGTTCTGACAGTGTAGTCTCTTACTGGTGTGGAGCATGTGTCATTGTCAAGAAGATTTAAAACCATACATCTGAGCTCCTTACTGACTAACACCCATTCACTTGGTTTGTATCTCTTCTCTTTGGTGCTAATTACAAGCAAACAAAAAAGAATGCATGCCATCTCAAACAGTGGATGCAGAAGTCTCCCTGGGAGGATCGCCTGTTTGATTTTCAATGACACTTCAGTAAAATGTAGCCAAGCTCACAGCCACAGCAGGAGAAGCACCATCCATGCTCATGCCTACATGCACCTGGATGGCAGCCTCATTGGCAGGTAGGAGATTGTCACCACAAGCCAACCTTCACTCACACTCAGCACACAACACACCCTGACCTCAGAAACACTGACCTGTCTTGGGTTGGCTCCTGCTGTCCTTGTGTTAGTATCTGCCCATCAGTACCAACTCACAATCATGGGCCCTAACTGAGTGAACAAGTCTCAATGGAACTATGAAAACTGAGTCACAGCTTCCCAGAACATTCCTCACCTGAGCCAGGATGCAAACCTTAACCCCCAGTGAATTGTAGGCTGGGTTCTGTGGGAAAGGCCATTGCTGCACAGCCAAAGATGTACATGAACTATTAACTTTTGCCCTGCCATTTGAGAAAGACCTACGATCTTCTACCAGGGTGACTTTGCACTATGGAAAATAAAATAAGCAGACTTTTTCAGGCTCTCTGGTATGGGCTCTGAACTCATGCCAATTCAGGAGACCCAAGTGAAATAAGAGACTATGAAAATTACGTGATCGATTAATGTTTAGTTTATTGCACTCACAGATCTGGAATGAAGCACTGGCTTCACATGCCAGCAACTGGTGGAACTCCTTCCTGGATACTTGGCCTGTGGACAAAGGCTATGTGTTAGGAAATCCAAAATGCACCACTATAAATGCTTCTGCATGCACTCTAGTGAAAAAGGAGCAATGCCACACTCCCTGTCATCTGCAGTGGTCGTGGTCAGTGCCACCACCAAGGGAGTAAAGGACACGGTGTTCATACTCATCACATTCTCACTCAGCACTGCTTTCTGGGGAAGAAATCTGGGGGAATGCCTGTATATTCCCAGAAGCTAAACTGGGTGCAAGATATAATCAGTGGCATGGATGAATAGCACTTTGCCTGGTGACTGGTGTGCAGCTCTTGACCCTGCAGTTGTTTTTTCCCAGTATGATTTAGTACTGGGAAAAAAGTACTAAATTATACTGGGAAAAAGCAGACTTCTTTCACCTGGTAAGACTAAAAACATACCTTCAGTGTGCTAACTCAGGTACATATCAAAATTTCAGCCTTACATCATGATTTTTAACACAGACTTTGATCACCTGCATCCTTTTCAGGACTTTCAATGGGTCAGTTATGTGATACTGGTTAGACAAACCAGGCAAGAAGCAGGAACTGCTCTTGGCTGGCTGGCAATAATTTGTGTGTCAGAAACTGGGTAAAGCCCAATAAAAGCTCACAGTCCTTACATGTCAGGGAAACAGCTGGTATATAGTGGTCTGGGTCATGAGATTTTCCCTCTAACATGAAGAAAAATTCGTTCCATCTGATCTCCTCTACAACCAAAAAGAGTCAAGCTGGGCAGAGGTCTACTCTGAGTTTTGAAGACATCATATTATTTACATAAGTTTGCTACTTCAGCCCATTTATCAGGTGGCCATGAAGCCTCTGGCTCTCAGTATTGAGGAGAACAAGAGAAGGCTCTATAGCAAGTCCAAGCTAGCATGTAAACCTAGGTCACTTGAGCCCTAGACTCCAGCAGAACCAGATGTGTCTAAAGTGACAGTGGCTTCCAGTTACACTGCTCAGAGTCTTTGCTAGGCCACTATAGATGAAGCACAGTACAGACACTTAGGATTTTAGAGCATATTCTTGCCATATTATATGGATATACTTCTTCCTTTTTAATTGGTATATATTAATTAATTTAAAATGTTGCATAAAAATATAAGCAGAATCACTTCTTTCTGCACCACCTGAATTTCTTACATTAAATTAGGAAGGAAAGACTTCATATGTACTAAGCACCAAGGAAGCCCCACAGACTATTTCCATCACTCAGCTTATAAATAAATCATGGTGGGATTCTAACTCCAGATTATTCAGCTCATGGTAGTGATTTTTTTGTTAGCAATAACACATATTCCTCAAACTCAATCCTATTGGTACTACTCATGATAACTTTGAATATTATCATGTGCCAAACACTGTTATTGCTTTGCATATGAGATTAAAAGGATGATGTATGAAATTATAGAGATAAACCATAGATATAAATGATAGGGTGTAGAGGTAAACCATAAGATATAAATGATAGGGAGTAGAGGTAAACCATAAGATATAAATGATATGGGGCTGGAGATGTGGCTCAAGCGGTAGCGCGCTCGCCTGGCATGCGTGCGGCCCAGGTTCGATCCTCAGCACCACATACCAACAAAGATGTTGTGTCCGCCGAGAACTAAAAATAAATATTAAAAAAAAAAGATATAAATGATAGGGTGTGAGTGAAAGTTACCTCTTTTGTAGAGACATTTATTTGAGAGACTCCCTTTAGCAGACATGTGCATATCATGATTAAACTTCCTTTTTAATTCAATCTTCAATTATCTGCTTTTCCATGGGTTCACACACTTTACCAGCAGCCTCAGCCAAGTGTCCTGTACCTCTTGATTCATTAGGGTATAGATAAGAGGGTTCAAAAGGGCTGTGACCACAGTGTAGAAGAAGGTGAAAAACTTGCCATTCTGTGAAGAAAAGATGCTCTCTGGGTCAGTGTACAACAGTATGGCCACTGTCCCAAGAAACATAAAGACCATGAGACAGTGGAAGGAGCAGGTGGAAATGGCTTTCTTCCTTTCTTCCTCTGACTTCATGTTCCTAACAGCCTGAGCTATGCAGCCATAGAAAGCCAGGATCAGCCCCACAGTCACCATATTCTCACTCAGCACTGCTTTCTAGGGAAGGAGATCTGGGGGAATGACAATCATGATGGTCATCTGCCACTCATTGGTGGTGGTGTCTTCATAGGCCAGGTGTATGAGGACAGACACCTCACACAGAAAGCCATCCAGGGGGTGATGAGAGATTGTGGAAGGCAACTGGAAGATTGTGGAAGATTGGAGCAGAGATGCTATCAGACCAGACAGCCAGGCTAATAAACCAGCTTCCAACAGAGTGGATGGTTCATGAGGACAATATAGTACAGGGTCTGGCAGATAGCAACATAGTGGTCAAAGGTCATCTCCTCCAGCAGCATGCCTTCCATGGCTCCAATGCAGAGGAACACACACCACTGGATGACATATCCTATGTAGGTGATGCACTTGTCTGGCCCCCACAGGTGGGACAATATCTTGGGAACAGAGGCTGAGATGAAGCACAGATCCAAGAAGAAAAGATTGTTAAGAAAGAAGTACATGGTGGTGTTGAGACTTGGGTCCATGAAAGACAGTAGGATGATACTGAAGTTACCAGGGATGGTCATGGTGATCAAGAGGATCACAACCCAGAAGATAGTCCTTTCCAGCTGGGGCAACTCAGAGATCCCTAGCAGGACGAAGCCAAGAGGGAAGCTCTGGTTCGTCCTCCCTGTGGTTTTTGGCATTAGAGTTCCAACATAATGGTAAGCAAGATTTGATATACAAATGTTGTGGAAAGACTTTAGTGCCATTTATATGGAGAGGATAAGCATTGTTGGTTTGGCCAACAGGATACAATGGCTTTTCTATAAATGTTTGTTGTTTAAATCAAAAGGGTTTTGCAACAGCCATTCTGATTGTTCTGTAAAATGTGCAGCCCCAGCATTCACAGTTGAAAAGTCACCTTAGTCCTTCCAGATTGTACACTCAGCAATGTTTATGTTCATGGAATTCAAGGTTGAAATAAAGTTTTATCTTTCATATTTCTACATATTTTCTTCCAAAAGAAGCAGATAGTACTTTGCATTATTTTGTAATATTAATAGCAATTCTTGGAAAGGAGATTATCCCAGAACCAACAGTCATGTTTCTTCAGTGTAATCTTCAGTGAGTGAGATTTTGGACAGTATACCATTCTCTGAGTGACTAAAGCAGTACCTGGGCATAGAAGACATACCAATGGTTAAAGAACACAAACTAGGTTAGACACTGCTTCTTTTGCCTTAAGTAATTTAAACTAAGTAAACAATCTTAGCCACCCCATCACTCTTGCTTGATGAGTAGCTACAGCAACCACTGCCAGAGGGGATTCTGTTCCAGAACAAAGGGGATTTCAGGGTAGCAGCCCTGCAGTCTTCCAGCACCAAGCACTGACATTCCTAGAATTGATGGCACCAAAATCACTAAACTGCTACCTGATTTTACCCTATATATGTCCATCATTATAATCCTCAAAATCCAACTGAGCATAAAGAATATATATCAAGAAATTACCATCACTGAAAAATAGATATGTCCTGGGTGTGGTGCCACATGACAATAATCCCAGTGGCTCATGAGGCTGGTGAGTTCAAAGCAAGCCTAGCAACTTAGTGAGGTCCTAAGCAATTTAGTGAGTCCCTGTCTTTAAATAACAGGTAAAAAAAAAAATGAGCCTAGAATGTATTCTGGTGGTTAAGTGTCCCTGGGTTCAATCACCAGTACAGAGAGAGAGAGGATCACAAGTGAGAAGTTTATGAAATTTGGTATTATTTAAACAATTGCTTCTTGGCATCCAAGATAGCAGAATAAAGGTTGTCTCATTTCTGTCTGTTCTGTGGCATGAAACTAAGAAAGCAGACAGAGAGTTTCTCTGCAAGTTAGGTGAACAAAAAAGGGGGGACAACTTTATTGAAAATTTAAACTGGACTTTCAAAGCAGAACAGGGACACAAGCAGTCAGATATAATAATAAAAAAAATCCCTAGTGGCACAGCAGCTGTCACAGCTAGGCCAGAAGCTCAGGCCAGAATTTAATTTCCATACCCCTCCTTATGCTCCTCCATGAGCATAAGGAGGGGTAAGGAAATTAAAGGAAACAGGATTTTTTGAAGGCCTGAGGCATGTCTGGGTATAGAACATGTAGAGACCAAGGTCATTTTCAACAGACCTGAAGGATGTGCTGCACAATATCCATGTGTAAGGAAAGAAGACACCATCTTTCCAGGCACCTTGTGAAAGACAAGGAAGGACCATTTTGCAGCTGTGGTACAGGAGCCAGCAAAAGGGGAAGCCATACCCTGGCAAATCTAAGATTGGCCTGAAACACAGGCCTACTAAACATTGTGCGTGCATGGCATAGAGCATGCTTAAGCGACCAGGATAAAACAAAATGTGGAGAGAGGCTTATACAGGGGACAACTGGACTTGAAAACCCACCTCGCTCTATCCATCTTCCTCCAATCCAACTGCTTGCAGGACTGGCTGGGAGAGACATGACTGGCTGGGAACTTGGAAGGGAAGTGCAAGACAGATTTTTGGAGACTGAACCTGAGATCAGAAAATGTGGAGTGTACAGATGATGTAGGGGACTAAGAATTGGCTTTCACAACTCATGAGTGAAGAGATTCCTGGTGTAAATTCTTCCAGCCTAAACCAGCAGGACTTGGGTGCTGGAGGTACACTGATTTAAAATCTCCAGACTGATTAGCAAGGACCCTAGAGCCCACCCAAGCCTAAACCCTACCTCCTGAAATTTTACCTATTGGAATACCTCTCTCACTCCAGTAACCCAGAGGTGGAGCATCACACTCCAGAAGACTCCACCTAAAAATGCTAAGAAGAGAAGCTGAGAATATTTTGAACTCAAACAGAAAGAATTCTTAACTTTTATCAATATTTTTTCTTTATTTTTTAAATGATTTTTCACTGTTTAATTGTGACCT